CGCAAGCATTGCTTCATTCCAGCGGCCCTGATATCTTCGTTCCATCACAGAAATATCTTGATGGAACCGTTCTCCATGCTCATCACTGACATCTCCGCAATTAGGTGGGAAAAAATCAAGATGGGAGTGGAGAAAATGAATTTTTAGAGACATATTGCAGCCGAGCTGATGGTATTTTTGTAGAAGTTCGGTAACCAATTGACGGTAGTTATCATATCTTTTGTTCCCTAAAAATCCATGTATAACTCCCTTAAGAGCTTCCCAAGCTTCCTTTTCTTTCCCTTCCAAAACTAAATCGAATGCAATGTCCTTTACAAGTTGACGTATTTGTGGCCCAACAAAGATGCCTTCCTTGACCTTGGCATCACTTAAATTAGGAAATTTGTCTCTTTAAATATTTAAAAGCCTGGCCCTCTCGGTTCATGGATTTGACAAAATTCTTCATCAAGCCCAGCTTGATATGTAAAGGTGGAAGGAGAACGTTTTTTGCATCTACGAGTGGCTCGGCAATTACGTTTTTCTCACTGGGGTTAAGATTTCTTGCAGGCCAATCTGCTTGAATATAATGGGATTTTCTATCCCTACTATCCCACATACATAAAAAGCAACAGTACCCTAATTGCATCCCTAAGAGTATAGCAATCACTTTTAAATCACCGCAGATTTTCCACTTATAATCCAGGTAGTTGATTGAATCTAGGAGCTCTGCCATGTTTGCATAAGTCTCCTTCATGTGAACCGCATGGCCAATAGGAATGGAAGGTAGACGGTTACCATTATGAAGTAACACAGCTTTCAAACTAAGCTTGGAGGAGTCTATGAAAAGTCTCCATTCAGTTGGATCATGCTTCATATTCAACCTTTTCATCAACCCATTAATATCACAACAAAAAACAAGGTTATTTTTCTTTTCAAAAAAAGGAATTAAATCCCTATGACGTTGTCTGTACTTGGTTACCCTGACATCATTCTGCAGGAGATTCCATTGCCGTAATCTTGATCCTAGAAGTTCTGCCTTCTCCTGTGACAAATCAAGATCTCTAATGAGATCACTCAACTCCGATTGACTCAATTTATGCGGTTTATCATCTTTTTCTTCTTCAAAATCAGGGTCATAAGATGTTGAAGGTTCGGTGAGTTCTCGTTCTACACTGTCTTCTTTTTCTGCTTCCACCTCATAAGCCTGGGGTGGCGTAGGAACTGGTAAACTGTCTGAATGTGGAATAGGTCGAATAGCTGATGGAAGATTTGGGTATTTAACACTTTTTATTTTTTTCATTGACAATCCGGATTTTATAGGTGGAGTCAAGCAAAAATAGCAATCGTCTATGTGGTTAGTGGGCTCCCGCCATACCATAGGCACAGCAAAAGGCATGGATCGTTTTTTATTTCTCAGCCATTCTCGTAATATAACTGAACACGAATTGCAACATATGTGTGGAGCCCATGGCTTATCTTGGTCTCCTACCTTCATACCAAAATAATGTTGATAAGCAGTTTTCACAAGAGGCGTCAAATTGCGTTTTTGTAAGGAAAACGTTATTTCACCACAAATGTAACAAAAATTGTTAGCTAGATTTACACATTTACGTGGCATGTTGATTCGTCTCTTTAAAATACTTCAAAACAAGATGATGTGCACGAAATACTATAAATTTCACAGTTACCGTAATAGTTTTACACTTCTGGCAGTTAATTTAAATTTTGACAAATTTAATTTATGAGTATTTTGACAGTTAACAATGTTGCCAATATTGAAAAACAAATTTTCCGCAGATTGAAAAAGAAGAATTTATAAAATATGAAAAGTCGCTTGTATCTCTGAAACTAGAGCTAATCGGTTCTTTTAATGGTCGTTTTCGCATTCAGTAAACGCAAAGACATGGGATAGGACTAAATTTGACTCCGAAACAATTTCATTGTTGCGCAGTGATTATTAAGGGGCCATCTCGACAATAAACTAAACAAAAAACCTGGCCAAACGCGAGTCTAGTATTGCTCTATTAGAGTTCCGTGCAGTTAAATAATCCTGTTATTGAAGCTACCTAATATAACTGAGTTATAAAAAAGTTCGTTTCCGAGCTCTATCTGCTGCGATATCTACATCGCGGTTCGCAATATACCGCGAAAGGAAAAATCATTTGTTTATTGTTAACACAACTTACAAATTACGTTATGAAACGGCGTTTTCAGTATTTGTTCTTTAAATACAGATTTTGAAATTTAAGTTTTGGTATGTGATGTGCATATGGCACAAACCAAACTTTCAAATTTCTAACTATGTAGTTTTGATTTTGAGATAGATCAAGTAACATTTTTTTTTAAATGACAACTTTCAAGGCTACCCTTTTCTAAGGGCACTTGGCTCGGGCAGGGATAGTTGAGTTGAACTGTCAAGTGTGAACTGGCATTATAATTTCGAATCCCATTCCAATATTTTTATCTTACTCAACGAGCCTTAGACAATGACGTATCAAGTGCATGAGACCAACCCATTTAAAATAATGATATTGAATTTTGAACTAAAGCATAAGGACAGAGAGACGACAGAATGAAAGCAAAAATCATTTTTACCCTTTGAGTACGGACCCTTAGTTTAGTTTAGTTTTTCAGCTTTACGGACTTAGTCCTAATTATTGGACCATTGTGCGTGTCTCAAAAACATTCCCGTTTACTCCAGCCAGCCTATATTGGTCCAGAAGGAAAGTAGCCTTGGTAAACTGCTGCAAGCTTCCGGAAACGATTCTGGCGACTGGGGAAGTCGTTTCCATTGGTCGGCCACGCTCCTACATTCCATGATGACATGCTGTGGCGTTTCTTCTGTCTCCATGTATCCTCTGCATAGGGGGCTGTCTGTTACTCCTATTGTATATAGGTGTTTGTTTAGGGGACAATGACCAGTCAGGGTTCCTATAATCTTGCGAAGTTTGTCACTATTTAGTCTGGTAAGGGTTCGGGCAAGTCTTTTGTTTGCCTCCGGAACCGCGTTTTTCATTTGCCAGCATCCTTCACTTGTTTTCCACTGTGTACGGACCCTTAAACTGAATCATGGGAATCAGCCTATGAATGTGCGAAGAACAATTTATATATACAATATATATACTCGTATATATATAATTAAGAACCTCCTTCTTTTTAAGTAGGTTAATAATAAAGTTTAAGGAAAAGTTCATTTAACTATAATCAGTCCTGCCATGTGAAAAGTTTTAATTTTTGCTACTGGCAATCTACTGCAGACTTATCGTGGTCCGACTGTAGTAGATATATTGTGATTTTATGCAAGTCTTAAAATCTGTCCAAGTACTTGTCGCTCGCAAGTGTTCCGTAGTTGGCTAACAAAGTGTAAATAGCAAACTGATATGTAGGTAGCATTTCATGTAAACACTAACCTACGTTTAACAATTAAAATTCTGATCATTTAGTTTCATTTTGCGTTGTACTGTCCGTGTTTAAATCAGCCAAAAAGTCTAATTTAGGTATTTTTATAAAACTCTTGTAAGAAGTTTTCTCGAATTTAATACTGCCATTTGAACATCTTTTTACAATTTTCATATGGAGCGCATAGAAGGAGTCCAACGTAGATTTCTCAGGATACTATGGGTATCACATAATAATTAAAGGGTCTAAAACCAGAATGGTAGGGTTTATGGGTTTATTTTTAACATGCAGTCCATTTATCTCGACGTAAGTAGGTACCTATTTTGCGGAAGTATGAAAGTTTTTATGTCTGGTAATATGAAAAATACAAATTAAAAATAAACCGGATGTTAAATAGATTTAACTGTTAAATTTATTTTGGGATTGGCTGCTAGTACTAACTGGGTCTGATCTTCAGCACTTGAATTATTTGATAAAAAATATGCAACAGGATATTTAAATTTTGTAGTATAGCAAATCATTTGAAATATTAATACTTCCATAGCTAAGGATTCAGAATCATCAGTGAAGATACCATCATAATCAACATATTTCCAGAATTTGTCTGTTTTTATATCATATCTTAATTCAGATCGTATGGAAGTCACATCGAATATTAATACGCCACATTCTTGAAACTGTCAGTTTCACTCGATTCTATTTTTATGTTCCGAGCTCATAAAAAGTAATTACTCAATCAATAGTTTTACTCTAAAGTGCCGCAAAACTAACAACTCGAAGGTACGTTCGTAGGACGCGACACGTTTATTTTTACTTGCATAAGATTTAATCTATCAAGTTATACCGTATGTGAGTACAGATAACGGACCATAAAATAATTATTAATTTCTATTATAAAGCTCTAACGAAGGATGTGAAAAACATAACTAGTTTCAGAATCATTCTAAAGATCAGCTTATTAACTTTCCCTTTGCATATATTTAGCACATACCAATAAGCACAGAGTACATTACAGATACTCTAAGTATGTGTTAATTTAATAAAATATATCTCTTTTAATTAATCTTGAAATAACATGAGATGACCTACATGGCTAATCAGTCGTTTTAAATGTTCATACTCTGGAAAACTCAGACCGCTATTGAACTTATATTTACTGTTTTTCTACCGTTTTTGTGTTTCTACCGTTATTGAGAACTTTATCGATTAAATTTCTGGGAAAAATAATGATGTCTCTTTCATTTTTCTTTTTTTGCAAGAGTTGCAATGGCGAGTGCTACCCAGATGGGTGTTCAATTCAAACTCGAAGCACTTGCCTGGGGTGCCTACTGAAGTAACCTAAAACTTACAGGAACCATAGTTTATTATTAATACCATTTGGCGGTGTAGTGTTAAAGAGATAAGGTTCCACGTCGATTTTATAAGATGAAATCTCACTTACGATCTCATTTACTCGGATATTTGACGATTGACTTTGACTTATTCTGTAAGTGGAGTGAGTCTGTAAGTTTCCCAAATGGCGAGTTCCCGAGACGGGCGAAATCAAGGAGGAAATCCGATATATCCCGCCTGCTATCGTAAAAGTGTTTAACGCCACAACAAATATGCGACATGTGTTTCAGATGTGTTCCAAAAGAACTGCACGCCGCCGGCCATCGACGACTTCCCCACGGGGCTGTTCACGGATCTGCAGCGGCAGCACGGCGCCATCGTGCTGCACGCCTTCATCTCCTTATACCTATTCATCGCGCTCGCCGTGGTCTGCGAAAAGTTCTTCGTGCCAGCCGTTGATAGAATCTGTCATGGTATTGTACAATTTTAATGCCAAAATTTTTAAATCTCTTAGACAAAACATTGGTCTCCCTTTGTTCGACCACAGAGAGACCGATCATTTATCTATGATAACTATGTCTTGAAAAGTAATATTTTATTCAAATTGAAAGCTAATACGATTGTAATTTTTTGCTGTATGTAACAATTACAATGGAAATAATACAATTCTTTTGGTTCTTTATAACTATCAACCTCGAGCTCGATGGCGCAGATGATTAGCGCCTTCGCCTTGCTATCGTGAAAGTGAAGCAACTTTCGTAATGGTCGGTCATGGGATTGGTGACCAGAAACTAAATATGTTATCTCGAGCTACTCCGTGCTGCGAAGGCACATTAAGCCGTTGGTCGAGGCTGCATCTGCAGGGTATTAGCACCCACCAATCCGCACTGGATCCGCGTGCCTGTTTCAGTCAGCGACCCCGTTTCCCTATTCCATCCATATAGAAGGCCTGTGCCACTGCATTAGAAACATTAATGAGCTGATGGTGATGATGAACTACCAACCTGTGCTGGGCCCGCGAGGTAGGTTTTGGAACGCCCTTACTCCCTATGTGAATATGTGAAGAAAAGCCTACCCCTTCTGTGGGGACATTTAGAAACCTCATAATTATGACATAATGAACGCGTTACTTTGTGTATAAACGGATTATACTTAGTCATTTAAATAGCCCCCTAGGATATACCTATATTTAATGCGCTGCTTTATCTAGCACCGTGTTAAAGTTTTTTAAAATGAGTACTTACATGAGAAGCATGGGCTTCTTCGAAAAAGGTGTGTTGTTTGTAGTGGTTCGGCAACGCTTTACCACTGGTGCAGTGGCCACGGTGACCGCTTACCATCAGGCAAACCTAGTGCTTGTTTGTCAGTTTTTGAAGTAAAAACTTCTTTAGCACGTTGTGATTTGAGATTCGATGAAACGGAAGTAGAGTATTTGACACAAGATAGGTATCCGTTATTTTATCATTTACCGTAAGAAACGGATAGCCGACCGCTCACGGTCTTGGGGTCGACACCAACTGATGGGTAGTTCGGTCCTGAGTTCGATATTTTTTTTTAATTGTTTTTTTTTTCTTTTATTAAGCTATTATTTATTTTTCGAAACAATTTAAGAATAGAATATTTAAATTTGCCCAGTATTAAAAATACCTGAATAGTTAAGTATTAAACGTTTGGTAGGTGCCTAATTTGTTTATTAATACAGGCTTGGTTTTTACATCACTGACACGGGTAAATCTTGAGAAACATTTAGATATACCTATCACACTTTAAAATTAAACAATGAGAAAAAAGTGTTTTCTACAAAGTTGAGGTCATTTTTTTCTTATTGCGGTTGAAATGTCCCCAACGTCAGCTTTTTTTTTGGAGCGCGTACTTCAAACTGATGTAAAAAATCTAAAGTTCAGAGAGCACTGTATTTTTCGGTCGTTTGACTGGAATAACTTTTATGACAGTCTAGTGTCATGGGACGTAAAATATGTAAATAATTAGTTTTTCAATTCGTTTTAGTGACGCTATCTATCGAAAAATTAAGCATTTTCTTATACGATTACGGCAGTGCTTTTTTAGCAAGACTAGCATATAAGCATGCGTGCTTTAAATTATCTGACATTTAAAATAGTTTGCTTAAACTTCTTTATATGGAGCGTGCGTTCGCAAGTACATTTATGAAACTTGGGTGTCTATGTACAAAGCTTATTTTTGTTTGCGAAAAATATAACTTAAATTAAATAGTATATTAATGTTTCATTTAAAGTGATTAGTTTAATAATGTCTTTAAACGTACGCACAACGCACAGTTTAATTTTTTTATTTTATTAATTTTGACCTAGAGAGTTCAATTTGAACACAGGTGTTGTCTTTTTGACGTACCTAGTCATGGAGGACTTTTACGTGTTCGCATTTTTCTAGGTTTCACTTCAATCGCATGTGAACAGCGCATGCCTGTTTTTTTCATTGAAGCTTAAAAACATTCTTTTATATCATAGATAATAAATGATTGGTCTCGCTTCGCTTGAAAAGATACCGCCGGTGTACACTCTTTTGGTGTTAAACAAAAGTAAAATTCCCTTAAAATACAACAAATAATAATAATGATACTGGGATCACATATCATCAATACCTGTAGACGTCGAACGACGTCTATACAGGTAAAGAAAAAAATGCGAAAACCGTAAAGTTTTAGTTACTTACATCATATATAAAAAATATTTTGAAAATTAAGGTTTGTACGGTCCCTCGATGCGCGAGTCTGACTCCCACTTGGCCGTTTTTTAATTTGTTGTTCGCGCGTATCTCCTAGGTTTGTGGACCGATTTGGATCATTAATTTTTTGTTTGGTAATATTTGTCAGTGAAGATCTGATAAATACTTTCGAAGATAAACAACGGAAATCCTGCCCCCCTAACATGAGCACCGCGATATGATTTAGTTCTGAAATACCAACTAGACATATCGTGTTTAAATATTTAGTAAGTTGATGTTGCTGTGGCTTATAGAAAGTGAAAAATAAAAACTTTATTAACAAAATATAAAAACCGAAATATAAAAAAACCACTAAATAGTAAGAAATAATGCAAATTCTTTACTTATATTTCCAATTAAAGTCAATTAACATTTGGACTCGGTGCCATGCCAACCCAAGCAGAGCGGTAACAAAAATACATCATCAGCTGTGAAAATTTAAACAGTCTCGCTAACGCAGTTCATGAGACACAGCCTGGCGACTAAAAGACGGACAGTGTTATCTTAGTAATAGGATCCCGTTTTTACTTATTTGAAATTTAAATTTAGGAGAAAGAATTTTGAAAAAGATCTAAAAAGTACTCTGTTTTTGTACTGTTGAATTAGTTTTCTATAATGTGTTTAGAACATAAGTCCTACTTTACTAACATGTGGATGACAAAACGCAGGAGCACACCTGCCAGAGAAACAAGCGCGGTGTCGTCCTCACTATAGCACTATTAAGGTCTCATTAGACCCACCCGGCACCCGAACAGCACCGCCTCAACTAGTGCGGTTGATATTATTTGTAAGGATTTCTATGGGTGTGCACTTACTACATCAATTCGGTACCGTCATCGGATCGCGTCGCTCGCAAGATGTGTGATGTTCACTGGGTGACAAAGAAGAGTCCACCCGTGGAACAACCGACGTTAGCTGGTTGACAATACGGCGTCCACGAGTAGACCTCGCGCGCTGAGGCTGTGCTGGTCGGGTGCTGGGTGGGTTTAGACCCACTCATTAGCTCATTAGTGAGCTATGTCCCTTTATGTATTCTATAGCTAAAAGCACATTTTCTGATTCCGGTGTAAATACGTGGGACACTCAGAAAGTTTTGAGGAACTAAAAAACTAACTTCTACTGAAAAAAGAATTTTTATTAAATCTTTTCAAAGAACTCTCTACCAGCCTCTATACAAAGTTTCATGCGTCTGAACCAATTTTCAAAACATTTTTCCAGTCCTCCGCAGACACCTCTTCCACGGCCTTCTCAAACGCTGCTAGCGCTTCTTCCGGCGATGAATACTTTTTTTTTTAATAACACACACCAATTAGCCTAGCCCCAAAGTAAGCACTGTAAGGCTTGTGTTATGGGATACTAGGGTAACGGATAGAATACATATACTGTATACATATATAAGTATACTTATATAGAAATACATATTAAACATCCATGACTGGAGTACAAATGCTCGTATTCATTACACAAACATCTGCCCCCACCGGGATTCGAACCCAGGACCTCTCGAGTCGGTGACACCATGAAACCCGGCGTACGAACCACTCGGCCACGGAGGTCGTCAATACTGTATCCCTTTGAGCTTATTTTTTATTTTAGGGAATAAAAAGAAGTCACACTGTGCCAAATCAGGGCTGTAAGGAGGGTGTTCCAAGGCTCTGACTGGTGTGGAGTCCAGGAAGTCCTTCGTTTTGATCGCAGAGTGCGCGGGCGCGTTGTCGTGGTGCAGAAGGACCCCGTGGAGCCCGATGTTAGGTCGCTTGTTGCTCATTGCAGAAAAAAATTCTGGCAGGCATTTTGTGTTATACCATTCGGCGTTGATGCTGCTGCTTTGGTCTCAAAGTAGAATTGAAATTAGGTACCCCGTCAAAGTAAAGAAACTAGCGATCAAAATTTCCCCAGCGCTCCTCGATCGCTTCACTTTCGTAGGCGTTGGTTCATTTTGAAACAGCCAAACTGTCGAACGACGCTTTGTTTCTGGATCGTATTGATAAATCCAGGATTGGTCACCTGTCACAATATTGTAAACGCGCCGTGACGAGCCTGCATCAAATTTTTGTATCATATCACTGCACCAATCTGATTCTGAGCTACGGTGAGGTTGTGCGGCAGCCAGCGGGAAACTTCCTGAACCAATATGTAGTATGCTGAATTTCTTCGTTCGTAATTCGACTGTTTTCTTGAATAACATTTTTTACTTCCAGCACACTTTCTTCGGTGACAGCCGTCGTAGGACCACTCCTTTGTTCATCCCCCAAAGTAAGACGACTGCGTTTGAACTCGCTACACCAGCGGTAGATGGTTGCTTTTGAAGGTCCTTCATCCATAAAAGCAGTTCGAAATCGATCAAATGACTCATCAGGTTTAAGCCACATTTAAAATCGTGAAAAATCATAGCACGAACATGTTCTCGATGCAGATCCATTTTTAATGAGACAAGATAAATATAATTTATTAATATAATCTTTCGAAAAAATGCGGATGGTAATTTTTTTCGCGAACCTTTCTGAGTGGCCTGAGTGGCCTGGGAGTAAGTTGTTGCAATAAGCGGTATCGGGCTTGGGTGGTTCAAGTAACTACGATTGATGTTTTCGTTTGACATAAACAATTGCTTTATGTAACTTGGGGTCGGAGTCAAGAGTTTATTTTACTTATTCAATAGCGGATGCCTCCTTATACACTTCTTCTTCCGTTTCGTTTACACCCTTCAAACTTTACGGTAGCAACAAAATGTTGCCCATTTTCTTCTCTAAGGTCTATCTACACTAAATTTCATACTTACTCTGATCTTCGTAAACTCTGAAGATGATACAGATACCCCAACATTGAGTAAAGTTACCTACTAAGTTAATTTAGTTCAGTCAGGGTTTAGATACTATATTATTAGTAACATTTTTAATAATATTTTTCAACTGTTCTTATATGGTTCATGGCCTCAGAATTTAGTTTCGTTAACCATCTCAAAGAGATTAACAAAGCATATTGTTCACATTAAGAAAAGTATAAAAAGTAGTTTGATGTAACTCTGATGCGTCGAGTTCTCATAGCATTGTTACAGTGTTTTTGTGACATCTATAACAATACGGCGTCAGTCATCGCCATCGTAATTAGTATTACGATACAAGGAGAAAAGATACGTAAGAAAGTGTTATTTACTAAGGTTTGATTGAAGCTAAAGTACCAATAAATAATTATTTCCGAACCCAAACAGGACAGCTTCTTAAACTGAGAAGCTTAAGCGTAGCTTCTTTAGGTTTTTAAGATTCTTAGTACTAGCTATTATAGCTGCTATTTTTTATTTGGATGTGGAATCCAGTATACAATTACTTATAAAGCTCATTGATAATATGTTCAAACTTAATTATGTCATGGAATACATAATCATAAAATTGTTTACCATAACATAGAAGTTTAAGATTTTGGATGTTTTTATGACATTTTTTATAACCAGAACCACTTAGCCATGTGTGTAGGTCTACTGGTACTTTTTTGGAATTATAATTCTTATGGGAAACTAAAATAAAAACATTGAGGTAAAAACAAACCACATGTGTTTTATTCCTCAATGATAATTAATATATCCATGGTCCACCCAGGTGAATCAAGGGTCATAACAAATTTCCTTAGTACCTACACCCAGGTGAACCAAGGGTCAGAACAAGTCTCCGGAGTCCATCTTGTTCGGTGGACCACTGGTAACAAACGATGTAAAAACAAAAGTTGTAGATTCTTTATTTACATACAAAGTCATTTTTTTTCGATAGGAATTGTTGTTTTCCCGAAAATCGAGAAAAACTGTTTTCTCCCTTAAAAGGTCAGCCCCCCAACCTTACCGACCTCAAATCAGCCGTTTTTATGTGTTCTTTTCCGTTTGTCCGAACTCTTTGCTCTCAAAAATTATCGGCCCTGTTGGCCAAATGAAGGTTATTGCTACTATTTGCTGCTCATGTTTAAATTCTCTTTCTCTATTTGGCTTTAAACAATTGACATAAACGAATGATGAATGATTAATTAATTTGAATCAAGAACGTTGGTGCATTTCATGAAGTTTCATTATGTTTTGTTTCAGCGTTGAACATGACAAACGATGTGGCTGGCGCTACGTTCATGGCGGCTGCCACTTCGGCTCCAGAGCTGTTCGTTAACGTCATCGGCACGTTCATCACCGAGGGGGACATCGGGGTCGGCACGATCGTTGGCTCCGCTGTCTTCAACATCCTCGCCGTTGCTGCATGCTGCGGTATAGGAGCGGGAATGGTAATTTCAACACTCCATATTAAAGAGCTTGAGCTTCATTGAAATAAGTTAGGAGCATTTTAACGAGTATTTATTGCATTAAGCATGAAGCAATAAATTACGTCAGATTTTAAAATACGCCCTCATTAGGGTTCTCCATTCCTTCGTTACCCCAGTACCTCCACACCTTTACCTGAAATCTCTGTGGATTAGGGTTATAGTATCAAGGACTTACAAATAAAAATTAAATGCGATTGTAGTTCGTGTGACACAGGACACTCAAAAAATTAGGCTTAATTAGAATTAAAGTTCCAGAACGGAAAAGACCAGTAGAGCTTAATAATGTTATACAAGGTCCGTAACCAGACATTTTGATAATACCTCTTGAAGTTTCAAGGTGTTTTTAGGATCTGAAAATATTGTTTTTCGTAGCACTGTTTAGAGCTGACATTTAAACGATCACATTTCGATTAAATCTATTGATGTTTATTTAACCAAATAGTCATTGACTGTGCAAATGAAATAATATTCAATATCGAATTTACATCGAAGGTCTAGTTATATAAAGATGAACAGGAAGATAAAGATTTTACTTGAAACTACAATCTCATTACATAAAGAAAAATAGTATTATTTTGTATTTAATTTAATGTTTGTGTTTCATGTAGTTGATAAAAGTAAGTTATGAAAATTAAACAAAAAGATAGAAAGTTATGATTAGTCGCAGGTAGATATTAAAAAGTATCTGTTAATTTATTAAATTGAATTTCTTTCACTGTTTGAAGAATCCTATTTGATACTTTTCAGGTTGTCCCGTTAGATTGGTGGCCATTGACACGGGATTGCCTTGCTTATGGAATTACCGTATCGATACTTATATGTATCATGCACGATGAGTACGTGTTATGGTACGAAGCGTTTCTGCTGGTTTTACTCTACGGGGTGTACATTTGTATCATGTACTACGACAAATCGATCCAAAATTTCGCCAGAGGTATTTATTCATTACAAATTGTATCTAGTAAATTGTTAAAAAAATTAACATTTATGAATTAATATTGTGATTTTTTCTAGGTAGCTGGAAATATTTTTCAACTGTTTTCAAGAAAAATGAGAGCGAAGAAAAACAAGACAATGTTCTCGGTACTGATAATGGTATGTTTTATTTATCCTTATTTGTTGCTCTCAATATAGACCGTAAATATATTGGGAGATTTAGGGACTAAGATATTGCCATCTCCTTCATTTGCAGAAGTGAAAGATGTTAAATGTCCTTCATCTACAAATAAAAATGATTTGCCTATGGAGCATCGTCAACATAACGGAAATATAAAAGGTGCACTATCTCTTTACCCAGATGTAAATGAGAAATATGGTGAGAATGCATCACAAGCAGTGAAGGCTCTGGAAGATGACAAAAATAAGAACGTCAATTTAGAGATTGAATCCAAAAACAATGAGATGGAGGTTACAAATACAGAAGAAAATATCGTCTCTATTCCAGAGGATGAAAAGGAAGAAGTCGATGTGTATGAACATTCACTTTGGAAATGGCCTAGTGGCAGAAGTTGTTTTACAAAGGTAAAGAATTTACCTATTCGTAGAAATTACCTATATATACATACCTATTCGTAGATATTTAGCTATTCGTAGAAAGTTCATCTTTACTAACAAGCTTAAATATTTTGTTTTGCAGACTACATGGATTGTGACTTGGCCAATTCACTTAGTTTTCTTGTTCACGATACCAGACTGTGAAAAACCGCGCTTTAAGAATTGGTTTCCACTGACGTTTATCATGTGCATTGTTTGGATAGGTTCGCTATCATATGTAGTGGCGTGGATGATTACTATTATAGGTGAGACATAAAATTTGTTGAAAACTGGAAAATTTATCAATATAATTAAACTGATCTCCATACTAGCTATTTTGTAACTGAATATTTTGAGGTTTATCTTAAATTGTGCATTTACAAATTTCACAAGAAAGGCTACTAAGTTTAATAGTCTTTTATAATAATATATTTATTGCATAAACAATGGTCATAATATATTGACACATATTCTTAACTTAATTTCAGGTGACACATTGATGATACCCGATTCAGTTATGGGTATTACATTCTTAGCTGCTGGTACATCTGTACCGGAGGCAGTTTCCAGTGTCATCGTAGCTAAACAGGGTAACTTGCACCGGTTTCTTTATAGAATTATTTTTTTAAAGCACAATATTAAAGATTAAGTAAAATAAGAGAAGAAGAACAACAGTAAATTAATAATATGGATAGTAAAGAGATGCAAACGTATTTATAACATATTTTAGTGTACCTTTTTTACCCTCGACTTGCCTTCAAATTGGTTGCCGTTATTATCATATTCTTATGTGTTACAGGACATGGATCTATGGGTATTAGTAATTCAATTGGATCAAATACTTTTGACATTCTACTATGTCTCGGATTACCGTGGCTTATTAAGGCCTCACTCACTCCAGCGGAGCCAGGACATTATTGGGTTAGAGTTCGATATTATTATATAATTCTCATAATAACAAATATTGCGAATGTATATCCAAAGATGCAAAGTGCGAATGTTTGTCTTATTCTACTTGCACAGCGATTTTTCTACGTTATAAAATATTTCACGTGATTCTTGTGCTATCTGCTTTTATTTTACCTATTTGTTAGAAATAAGGTTTATTTGGATTTACAGCGATTTGTTTCATATCTTCATTTAGAAATAGTGTTATGAATGTTAACGTATGTCAACAGGTGAAGATAAATTCTATGGGTTTGGAGTACTCGGCGATATCGCTCCTGTCGACATTGCTGCTATTGTATCTGACATTCTGGTTCAATAAGTTTAAGCTGGACGCGGCGGTGGGGCGTGCGTGCCTCGCTATGTACGCCATGTTCTTGGTGCTGGCCACTCTTATCGAGCTCAACGTTTTCTTCCCAGTCAACATGCGCACGTGCAAGAGAACCGAACTAAAATCTTAGGCTAGTGACCGGACTTAACAGTATGAAGAGAACTGTGAAAACTGGCGAACTATTTGTGCCTCTAGTTAACTGTTTTGAATCATGTGTGCTAGCAGATGGGTGCAGCTGAGTTGTACTTGCAACGGGAACACGATAGATTTTATATGTGTAAAACTCTTGGCAATGTTAATATTTTTTTGTTTAAAACCTCTTAACATAATTGGATCATTTGTTGATATCAATACATTCTAAAGTTAATTTGAAAGTCTGAAAAATAAATAAGTTACAAAGTAAATTGAATACTCGCAGTATTGGAATCTGTCGGGTAAATAACCTGTACGTGTGTTTTTAAATTATGCTTGTGTTTAAATTAACAACAAAGACCAAATTATAGATCTGACTTCAAGTCTCGGGTGAAGTGTTGTTGTACATAATATACGACGTTAATGTAACAGAGTTTTAAGAGTAATTAAATATATAGATTTTTATTTCCAGTTTTGTATTATTTTTTCTTACAATTCCCACTAAATATCAGGTCAAAGTTACATCTTATTCTTAGAATAGTAGTTACGAGTACATTGTGTAGTTGTACCCCGAATGGTCAGGTCCGGAAACACCAATAAAACTCAAGGATGTACGGCATTGAAGCCAGAAGTGATTGAGTTAACTTACAGACCCTAGGGTATATAGAAGGATCTCAATATTTATGAATATAACACACGTTATGCAGTTTAATGTTACCAATTTAAACTTCTTTCTGATGATAATTTTATTATAAATTTAGTTTTACGACTTACTTACCTATTAAAATACTGATGATTGTGTATGCAATACATTGGAAACAAAATTACCAAAGGTCATATTATATTAAGAAAAAATTAATATGAATGAAAGACGCATCACATAAAAATAAAATGCAATTACCTACATTAGAAGTAAGTTGTTTTTACGACGATAACGTAAATTTACGCCGGTGTAAGGCCGCATTTTTCGATTTCATTCATAGTATGTGATATAAAATAATAGGTTAGTACCTACTATCGTTAGTACTATCGAAACATACATTTTATGTAGAACACTTGTTGAACCCACAGTGCGTCTATGAACGGTTTTTATTTTTTTATGTTTTCAAAATTTATACCAATGAAATAAAATTAACACTTTATTTCCTTGACTATTTCTGTATGGGAAACTGAAAACTATACATTCAAAGGCTTTGTTATCTATTAAAAACATTATAAGTTCATTAGTTATATTAATTCACTATTAGTTGTTATCATTAGGAGAAACTGGGAGAAAATTTAGATGAATCAATTAGTGAAACTCAGCAAATAATTTCTTTATGTCTATTTTATTTAACATATATAAAGGATAAATTGATTTCTATACTAAATATTAAAGTACTTACTATAACATTGATGTTTATTAAAATCAATAGTATTTATACGTACATAAATGAATAAATGACTATGAAATTAAAAACGATGGTATTTATAATAAACATTTATAAAGTTAACGCCGAGCCTTATGAATTAGTTTTACACTATTTAAACAATGGAATGCTAGATAATATTTATGATAATGTAAAGTTTTTAGTTTGTTATACGAGTGCGATCTTCGCAAAAATAAAAGTCGTAGATATAGTACAAAACAAAGAGTCTTTAATATTAGTAGTTTTAGAGACTGCAATAAATTACCATTTAATAGTCATTTTAAAGCTTTCTCCCTTAAACATTTATTTAAAATGAAATATAAACTTATTGGTATCAATCACGTCTTTTGATCGTCAACATTTCATGTCACGTGTTTGAATTAACTTTTCGTTCCGTTGCCGCATTCTCTTTGTGGTGTTTCGCATGTTGTGCGCTATCCGACATTATCGAAATTGTTATTTTTTCGATTCCCCGAATCCGCTGCGTGACCGGTGCCGACTTTCTATAAACAGATACAAACTTTTTTTTAATGTAAAAGGGTGGAAAACAAGCACTTATATCTCCTGATTACTAAAAGACTTTTGAAGCAACGTCGTTTCCTCTCCGGGTGTACACTGACCACATCATCAACAACAGCCAGCCATAATACCCCCACTGCTAGGGCACAGGCCTTCCCTATGGATGGTAAAGGGAGATTGGGTCATGACCCACCACGCGGACCCAGTGCGGATTGGTGGGTGCTAACGACTGCAGATGCAGCCTGGACAATCGGCTTAACGTGCCTTCCGAAGCTCGAACCTACTGAACACATAAGTCTTCTTGTATAAATAGGCTGCAAGGCAGTGCCAACTTTTCATTGTTATAGGTCGAACATTCACCCGATTGGCAAACCCTGACTACTTGAGATCAAGAATGGCTTAAATTTTTCCACTTATTTTTTTGTATAGAGAATCTTTCTGCCCAACTTTAGTGAACGCTTTTACTTCACGTGAATTTTATTTTCGCTGGAAATTGTTTTTGCATTTGGTAAGTCGCCCTTCGCCACTTAGAGCCTATAGCTACCGCTCTAATACCTGTATCCCAGGAGTTGCGCTGAATATAGAGGTACAAGTTTAATATGACGAGCCCGATAGTGCAGGTAGTTAGCGCGTTCGGCCTGTGATCGTGGAAGTTAAGCAACTTTCGCAATGGTCATTGAATGGGAGACCAGTATTTGACCGGGGTGACCAGAAACTTATTAGCACGAGCCCCTCCATGATTCAGAAGGCACGTTTAGCTGTTGGTACTGGCTGCATCTGCAGTCGTAAGCACCCACCAATTCGCACTGGGCCCGCGTGATCATATCCCAATTTGATTATTATTCCATCCATAGGGAATTTCGGTGCACCAGAGTGGGGATATTAATAGGCAGGTTATAAATTAAAGTGTAATTTATTTAATTCACATAAACGGTTCTTCACAACGCCAGCTCTTTAAGAAAAACCGTTTCTTTAGTTAAAAGAAGTAGTACTATCATCAACGAGATCAACGCTGAATTGAATTAGAGAATAAGCACGGCTAATAACCGTGCATAAAGGTTAGGTATGAATGGTGATTTGAAAAGGGAATTTTATGGAATAAAATTCATCGGTTACCATATAAATAAGCAAGTTATAGGTCAGGAAGGTGAAGATAGTTAGTGTGGAAGGTAAAACTGCTGCTAACTAACTACCAACATCAGGTAGGTTGGAGTCATTTGTTCGAACCCATATAAAATGCGCAGTTTCAGTTTAATGACATCCCGCGCGCGCTAACATCGCCCTACAGGGCATAATAATGCCCTGTAGGGCGATGTTAGATGTTAATGCGCGACTTACGCTTACTTCACAGGCGCCATGGACTGGGCTTACTTACTGTTCTAGATGGCGCTCGTGCATTTTGATACTGTGCTGGGTTAGTCCTTAGTTTGAATCGCACTATAATACTAACCGTGTAAGCGGACTGGGCACGCAGTCGTTCTAGATCGCGCGCGTGCATTTCGATATCGTGCTGGGTTAGACGCGGTCTGCGAGCGCGTGGATCCTGAGCAGGCAACCAGCGGTGTATCATCGGCGTCAATAGGTCGCGGTGTACCTGCACAAACATATTGGCTTTGGAACTCTTTAAACCCCTAATGTACAGGCGTAGATTACTATAGGTATAAAGACCCTGCCAAAACTGCAGGGCCAGATAAGATCCCTCCGATATTTTATTATTAGACTCGCCAACAGCCCTGTAACCCCATTAGGCCATCCAGAAACTTTTCTCTTTCGTCTCGTCAAGTACCAAATCTCTGGAAATGGGTATTTGTTAAGCCTAACCACAAAGAAGGTCCCAAACATCAGGTAGAAAACTATAGACCGATCTCTGAACGGTGTGTTTTCGCCGAAAGTCCTTGAAAATATTTACTATTCTCAAGTATACTCTGCTATAAGACAAAGTCTTAGTGATTCGCTACATGGCATTTTAAAAGGTCGATCTACTACCACTAATCTCTTGCTTTGTGAAAACTATATTTCCGAGCACATGGCAGCTGGCTATTAAGTGGATGTCGTGTATATCGATTATAGTAAATGTGTTGATAGGATCAATCACGTCGTACTTTTAGAAAAGTTGCAAATGATTGGTATACCCGGTAACCTGTTTCGCTGGTTCAGTTCATATGTTGAAAATCGAAATCAAATTGTTGTTCTCAATGGTTAACAATCTACCTCACTCTTAATACCTTCTGGATTACCACAGGGATCACTTTTCGGTTCCTTATTATTTACGATTTTTACGAACGATATGTCTATATAGTTCTAATTTTTTCACAGTAGAATATTTCTTTATGCAGATGATATAAAAATGCTATTCCCAATCAAATCAAATTTCAGATTGCACTTGATTTTAAGAATTTAACAGGTTTCAATGTTATTGTATTAAAAATAACTTAAACCTTAATATTGCAATTTTTTTTGTCTATTCGTTTTCAAGAAAACCTAGTCATTAAATTTAATTATAGTATTCAGAATAATATACTTAACAGGACTGATTCTTTGCGGGGCCTTGAAGTGATTTTTGATTCTACGCTCACCTTTGAGAGTCATATTCATATATCAGTACACCTGACAAAATCACTAGACACAGTACTCTTAACGTGCCGTTAGTCTCAACTAATTATCGTCAAAACTCTTTCACATTTAGAGCTCCTCACACTTTTAACCAGTACTCATAAGGCCAGATAGATGTGGATTTGTTCTGTGACAGCTTCAACTATATTGTTTTTGACTACGCGATCATCTTACGGAACTCTGTGGATCATCCAATGTACTTTTTGGTATCTAGGGTATTTAATATCGTTGATATAAAGTCTTAATTTAAACGCGTACGTTAAAGCCTGTGAGATTTCTAAATGCACGAAAAGTTTGCTACGGGTGGTAAGAATATTTTGCTACAAATGCATTAAATTAAAATACATTGATTTGATACCTGTAGAAAAAACAACACTATCTACAATACCTTCTATATGTAGGTAGGTATAGTTTTCGCTTATAGTTTTAACTTTTTCACGATCCATGCATGACTGTTAACGGGACAGATAGGTGACTTGATTGGTACACATTCGGAGCGCTCGTGTTAATACATTGGGTTTTTTAATTTCGTTGGCCGTAGGAACCAAAAATAACCTGAAGTTACTTGATTATTATATGAAGTTTATATCGGCAAACCGGCATGAATATTATTGGTCCATGGAACCGACCGATGAATTCCAACTACATACACGATACCAATGCATACAATAATTTCATTATCTGGCTTTGAATTTATAAGTACAGGAATTTATAAAATGCACATACCACAATTTGTTACAAAAATACACAAACCAATAAATACGTATAATTTTGAATATATTTATACATACCGAGTGCATTACTTTCGAGTTTCACAGTTCATATCATAATAGTGCCGGGCGATTCCATTGCCACATCCCGACAAGTGACGTAAGCTCAGGGAGCGCGCGAAATCTCGGAAATAATAAAAAGGCTCTAAACTTCTTGCAGTCATAACTTCGTTAATACTGTATGTATTCACATGAAATAAAAACTAATATAACAAACGTAGTCTAAAGTTTGATATTAGGTATATTTAAGTGTAACACTTGAAACCTTTTGTCTTTTCCATTTAACTGTGCAAAGTGAGTTTGTTCTTACAGTCAATAGCACTTCTAATTGGCATTCGTATGAAATTGATAACTCTCTGGTTAGGGTATGATAAGGCTGGCATGTTCCAAGATGAAAAGCCTCCAAATAAGTGATAGAAAAAAGAAACAACTGCTTCGGAACTCCTGTACCACAAATCTACAGGCATATATTCTATAGACAAAGTCAAGCGGTCAGTAGAACTAGAACGAACAAAGTACTACTTTATAGAGATGACTGGGCGAAACTCACATAAAATTGATAGTACATAGGACGAGTTTATGACCGTCCGACCGGTTTCTCTCTCCCACGTAAGGGAACGCTCAGTCTATTTTCTATCTCTATCAGGCTTAGAAGTTCCCACTGTGACACACCTATTCCTGTGGCTTAGTGGTGCTAGAGGATACAAATGTAGCTTGTATTGAGCCTGACAGGAGTTAAAGACAATATTTTTTTGGCAACCGTTGTTCTGCAGCGCTGATTATTGCATCATCGTGTTCTTCCTACAAATATCAATTAAAATCTTACCATGGCTGGATCGTTCGGCTGCGTGAAATACGAGACGATTGTTCCTATCATTATACACACTGTCATTCCCACCAATGTGTAGTACAAGTAGCTCATCCTGTACAGGAAAAATGTTCCCGACCTGGACAAAAGGAAAACCAATCAATTTAATCATAACACATTAATGGTATCACATCGGCTTACACGAGGAAAACCTGTTTTTGAAATTTTCAAAATCAAATCTTTTAGGATGATTACAATATTTTATCGTACGGGTCCGGGTCGTACCGTATCCGATCCTTCATCACAGTGGATACACCAGAAACATTTACTAAAAAATTATTAAATTTTGTAAAATTTGGGAGTCACCATCAACAAATGGGATGCTACCTGCTACATGCTCCCGGAACTCACATATTACACGAAAATTTTGTGTGCTGTAATTCATAGATTCTTTTAATCCATGCCATTTGGAAACTGTTTGGCCTATATAAATCGCCCTTACTCACCTATCAAACTCGACACCGTTTCGGAAAGATGGCAGCGGCGTGGTGATACTGGTAAAATTAGCAGGACATCCCTCAATAGAAATAGGCTTAGGTGTAACCACGATATCGCCTCGCATCATAGCTGCTTGCGTTCCCAATGATATCCATCCTACAAAAAGAGTTGACGTCACCCCGCCAACTAAAGCGCCCTAAAAGTATTAAAATGAAATGAAATTTTATTTTATTCAAAAGGACCTATGTATATATAGAAAGCTCTTTTGAATCGTCCAAATTTTTTCCCCATTCGTTATGAGTTATAAGATGTCCTATCTTATAACTTATGAATTATAAGAAGTCCTATCTTATAACTCATAGAAAAATAGGCGCAGGAAACTAAAGTATCCAAACTTAAACAAAGCATAACGCTCTCAACACAATTAATTAAATGTATTGATTATGTGTTACAACTGAGCTTTAAAATTTAAATAATAGGAGTACAGTGCAAACTTTATGGCGGTTGTGAAGTTAGCGCAAGTCACGGCGACGCGACGGCGCACAACGAAATGTAGAGCGTTATTTAAGTGCGTAACACAGCACTAACAGTGTTTGGTAAATGGAAGTGATGACCACCAAACTATTTTCTTATCCACAACTGCTTTACTGTAACGCCACTAATATATCACTTGTCCTGAAAGGCATCGATGGATATGCAATTTTCACTTAAGGTACACACTGTAAATGTCAAAAAAGTTAGCAAATAAGCCTAGTGGATATTGTTGCGCTTGCTGCTAACTTCATAACCGTCTAAAAGTTGAAATCGACTATATAAGTGTTACAAGGAACAGCATACCGTCGCGTTAACCCAAGGCAAGAAGAGCCCCATTGAAAATAGGCCCAGGAGACTTCCCGCCGTGATTCCCGCCAAACTTTTGCCTGCCTGTATTAAAGCTCCCATGTGTTCCACTAAGAACACCAACGCAACGCATATTGCTCCTGAAGAAAATAAAAGTATTTATTTAGCATAATTAAACTTAAAGTTCACAATACATGTTTCCACCTTGCCACTGTAGGTGAAGCTGAAGCAACGTAATCTACTTAGCTAAGTTTCTTAAAAACCTTTATTTTATCTATCAGCAAGAAACAATTGATGTAAAGAATTAAGGTTGGTGCCCTTATAAAGCTCGTTGATAAATAGATCTAAATGATTTTTTTTATTACTGACAAACGACCAAACATTGATAACACAGCCGATTATATTCTATGTCAAAATACACTAAATGAAAATCAGCTGAGTGGATTTATTTGCTATTATAGCATAATTATAAATATCATTGCACACTTTAAAACGAAAATTGTTTGCGGTTGATGTAAATATCGACTTTATATTGTCACAAACGCTCTCGAAACGTAACCGCGAAAGTGCTAGAGATCGAATTTTCCAGATCACCGTGGGTCGCGATAGAGGTCGAGTAATGCGGCTGATTCTAAAATGAGCCTTATGCAGTGCGGCGTAAGGGAGAAAGTGCAACGACATCTGCACATGTTTACAGGTTATGCGCGTTACCTGCGTAGGTATAAGTAGGTACTTCGTACTCGCGGGTGCTAGGTAATTCTCAATTTAACAGGTACTTTCTAGAATGCGTCGATCGGCGTATATAAGCGCGATTGGAGCCGCGCAGAGACAGTTGAGTTTCAACAGCGATTTCGGAACGAATCCAAAGGCGATCAAAGTGCCACCAAAGTGTTCAAGTGAGATTATTTAGAGACTTGTATAGTGAAATACAGTGTTTAGTAATTAACATTGTGTGCTAATTGTGTGAACTGTGCGGTGAATAAAGAACTGTCAAGCGTGAACTGGCATATAATTTCGAACCCCATCCCGACACGTAACAACTGGTGACAGAAGTGACATGCCAATCACACCGCGCGACGGAAGCGAAGGCGTACGCACTCGACGGCAGGCTGTAATGGATCATTCGCGGGAGTCGGGAGTAGCGGCGCCTGAAGAAGATTCAAGGACACCACAGACTGCTCACCACAGTGGTGTTGCCGCTACAACTACTGCGCCTGCGCTCGATTTATTGACATTGTTGGCGGCTATCAAAGACGTCAAGGAGAGTCAACAACAAGCTATTGAGGACGTCAAGGAGAGTCAACGCCAAGCTATGGAAAGTCAACGCCAAGCTATGGAAAGTCAACAACAAGCACTCAAAGATGTCAAGGAGGAAGTGAAGGCTGCTATTGACTCGAAATTTGAAGCATTCAAAACAACTTTGTGCGGCCTCCACGACGAAATAGAATGCGTAAAGAGCCGTACCAGCAAACACCAGGAGACCCTAGACAAACACCAGGAGAGCATAGGCGAATGCAAGGAGACTCTACAGGTCCATGAGAAAATGTTAAGAGACCTTCGAAACACCAAGGTCATGAGCACCGCCATAGCAACCACGAGTATCACGGCACCTAAATTCAAGATACCGGCGTTTGATGGTACAACTTCTTGGACAGCATTCAGACACCAATTTGAAGTCGTAGCCAAAGGGAACGGCTGGGAGGACGAACATGTCCTGACCGCACTCACTCTTGCGCTCAGGGGGGATGCTCTTCTGATATTGGAAAATGTAGCAGCCGATCAACGAAGTTTCGAAACTCTCCTCAAAGCTCTGGAGGCTCGTTACGGGGATAAACACCTAGAACATGTGTATCGAGCGCAACTAAAAGAACGGTCACAGAAACCAGGAGAAGGACACAATTACAGCAGTGGGCCACGGAGAGTGAATGACTGGTGCGTCGCACTTATGCGTCCAGTAAGACAATCATAGAAGACATTGTAGTTCAAGCTTTTGTGGATGGTATAAGAGACCATGAAGTAAGAGCGGCCGTTCGATTGGGTCATCACACGACCCTGGAAGCTGCTTTAGCGCCCTGGAGGTAGAAGCAGTACGCAATGACTACAAGACACACAGAGTGCGAGAAGCAGTCAAGCCTCGAGGTGGACCAATATGCTATGGATGTGTAACTCACGTTAAACTAATCGGGGCCATTGCTGCGGGGCGGGCACTGGCTGGACTTCATTTAGCCCCAACAGTACGAGTGTCACAGGCATGTGATGGAAATATTCTCGTAACCGCAGGAGAAATAAACGGCAAGCCTGCACAAATTACAATTGACACGGGCATCGAAAACTATGTGGCAAGATAAAAGATCTAAGTGTCAATTGCAAACAGCTACAGGCCAGCCAGTGACCGTCCTGGGAGTGACAGATATCACATTGAAACTAGGAGACAAAATCTACAGACAAAGCGTCTTGGTCGCTAACATAACGGACGACTGTATACTCGGACTGGACTTCTTACGATCACAGCAGTATGTGGTGGATATCGCTAGAGGAGTATTGAATTTTCCGGATCAAGAAATATTTCTAGAAGGAAACCCTCCACCAGTAGTTTACAACGTCAAAACGGTTACGCTACCAGCGACATTGGTAGAAGTCAAGTTTCCGGAAGGGGCGTCACTGAATCGATGTGTCGTAGTAGAAGATACCGGGAGTCACCCTAGTTGGATCACGGCTAGACGGCTCTTCTGGTCATGATCAGGGTGATTATGACCAGTAGAGGGCCAAGGGTAAAACTCGTAAACACTAGCAGCACTGCGATACAGTTATGGAAGAACACGGTCATCGGACGATGCGCAGGTGTAGACTACATGAGAAGAACTCAAGAATGCTGTAGAGAACCACCTTCAACGAGGCACATGAATCCGTTACTGGAGAAAATGAAGACAAGTTTGCCACCTAACTTGTATAATGGAGTCAAGCAATTAATATTAGACTACAAGGACATCTTTTCAAATGGAGAAAATGACCTTAGGAGGACTGGTCTTGTCAAGCATTCAATCCACACCGGTGATACACAGCCTATCAAACAAAGACCTAGACGAGTGCCTCTGGCAAGATAACAGGAAGGAGCGGACATGATTGAGAAGATGTCACGTGATAAGATCATCGAACAATCTACTAGCCCCTGGTCTTCTCCAGTAGTATTGATGAAGAAGAAAGACGGCAGCACCAGGTTCTGCGTGGACTTCAGGATGCTCAACAATGTGACCAAGAAGAACAGCTATCCATTGCCGCGTATTGACGACACATTGGACATGTTGGGAGGCATGAAGTGGTTCTCCACAGTTGACCTGAAGAGTGGCGCCAGATGGCGCTGTCGTCACGTAAACATCGACGTCGTATTTAAAATTGATTTATAAATATAAAAAGTGAATTGTTCTGCTTAGCGAGTAAATCATACTGATATATTTCATGTGTGAAATATGTGGAAATGTAGGCCAGTGGAAATAACACCATACTGTGAAAATAAACAATAAATTAAAATTATCATCAGTGACCCATAAAAACAGTGTAAAAAGCTTATTTCAAGTATATTAAACAGAAGAATAATAATAAATGATAACAGTGTTAGTGACAAAATTAAAGATTTAGTGAAAATACGTTTTAAATTTTTTTTGATGAATCATAAAATAACGAACTTTAAAAATTCAAATCTCTGTGCCTAGTATATTCGGAAATTTCGCTGTTACAAATATCCGCTGCGTGGCCGCAAGGTTTAAGCAGCGCGGCAGCGGCTTTGCAAACTCCGCGGGTCGCCAGTTCAAATCAAGTTGAACGACTGTCTATTAATTGATGTTTCCATTTTTGTCTGCACCACCAACGATATAATGATTGAGCACCACGTATAAGTTCTTCATTTAAATTACATCCATAAATTACATTATTACTGTTTGTGTTTTACTCACAAAAAATCACAATAAACGCCATCTGTTTCTTCTTCCATACCAAACAGCTACTCGAACCTTCAGTGTTTGCTTCACTCTTAACAATCAATAAACAAGTTTCTTAAAAATTTCGCAAGATGGCCAGCTCCGATAAAATATGTGCAGGATGTTGTCAGAAAATACCTGATAGATACTACTTATCATGTTGTTTATGCACACAAAGTTATGATATTCAATGTGCAAATGTACCTTTGGTAAGATTTATAAATACAATGACGCCGGATCACAAATTGTCTTGGAAATGTCCCTTATGTTGCTCAAAAGTTGCAAAGACAAATAACTCAAACACCCCTGTTCGGCAAAATTACGATGAAATAAATTGCGATCTGAATTTAAATAGAAAAAGCCAACGAAGACGCCAAGCGATATCGCCAGTAGCCGACGATTCAAATACTTCCCTTGAAGGGGATACCTTTTTAGAACACCCAACGCAAAATACTCCAATAAACAGCATTTCCTCATCAAACTTGGCAACTCTAGAGCAAATAAATATATCTATACAAGAAAATCTACAGCAAAATAATAAATCTATCTTACAAGCAATACAAAATACTATTCAGAGGGAAATTGAATCAGCTATAAAAAACCTAAGACAAGACTTTATACAAAACTTTGAATACTTGAAATGCAGACAGACTAAAACCGAAGAAAATATTTTAACCCTTGAACAAAAAATCAAAAGCCTGCAAAATGAATGTTCAAAATTGCAAAAAAAATTATAATGAATTTCAAGAAAAGTTACATAGTTCAAAATCCCTAGATACCACGACTGACATGAAATTCGAAAAATATATTGTCTTGCATGGATTATCTTCTGAATATCGCGAAACGGAGGATGATTTAGTAGATCGAATTTCATACATTTTTAAAGATGTACTCAATATACATTTACCCCCATACATCGAAGAAGTAAATTTCATAGGGCATAGAGGAAAGAATATTAGACCAATAAGGATAGAATTATCAAATAAAAGACTAAGGAAATATATATTACGTAATGCAGCATACTTTAGAGAGGTTGGTTTGGGCATTTCCGAATACCTAAGTGAGTCGGATCTAAAACAAAAGCGCGAACTGAAACAGGCTCTTATGGAGATCCGGAAAAAGGGTCAAAATGCTGTCATAAGGAATGGAAAGCTAATAGTAGATGG